AAAGAAAAGCGCGTCGTACATTCCATCGTGGGTATGGATGTCAATTCAGAGCTGACGATGCTGATGTCGACGTTAGACCATGATATTATTTCCTGCACCTAAAGCTACCTTCCCATTTCCAGAACTTCGAGATGGTGCGCCTTTTTGGGTCAGGCTCTGGACCGCGCTGCCGTTACGACTGCGACTGTACGCATACGAATCTTGGCCGAAGATGTTGAGAATCTTTGTCCCGTCAAAGAAAGGGCTGTCGCAACGAGTGTACAAACTTCCCTTTGGCTTGTATCTCAAACATGGTTACACGTCCGCAAGTCAAGCGGCATACGAATGTCCCCGCCCCCACGCTGGTCGACTATATCACCCGTGAAACAGAATGGGGTAATTTCGCATATACCCTTATGACTGAGGTACCTGGTCGGCCGCTCAGTGAGGTTGCACACAGTCTATCCGACGACGAGTTGGAGACAATTGGACTGCAGCTACGAGGATACGTCGAAGAACTCCGAGCTATTCCGAACCCGCATTCGAACCAAGTCTGCAGTGCGTCTGGAGGATCCATCCACTGTCCTCAATTTACACTCTCGTGGGACATTCCTGCGTATGTGGATGTGGCTGCATTTTACGCTTGGTTGCGGATCATGGTGGGCGAATACTGGGAGTGTTGCATGAAAGGGAAGCTCGAGCCGGTATTCGCGAAATTCGCTGGACCGACGGTCTTTACGCATGGTGACCTCGCGGATCGGAACATTATGATACGGAACGGCAAGATATCAGGATTGATCGACTGGGAGACGGCGGCGTGGATGCCTGTGTATTGGGAGTACTACACATCGCTCTCGGATAACTTTCGCCACACTGCGCCATTTAGTACGATTATCAAGGGTGCTTTGAAGGAGCATTACGCTGATGCAGCGAGGGCAATTGGGTTGGCTGGAGCTGCGATTCGGGGTATCGATCCATGTAAAAAGTATTAGCCGTATTGTAACCGTGCGTCCTGAGTAGGTACATGTCTATCCTTGCCACGATGAAGTCAGATGAGCGGGTGTGACGGCAAGATACCAGGTCTCATCGACTGGGAGACGGCCGCGTGGATGCCCGTGTGCTGGGAGTACTGTACTACGCATCACTCGCGGATAACTACCGCCACACAGCGTCGTTCAACAACATGATCAGGATTGCGGTAAAGGAGCATTACGAGGATGAAATAGATGCCATTGCGCCTGTTAGGTTATCGATTGCATTGACCGATCTTTGTAAAGAGTATTAATATGACAGTACCTTGTTGTCTTGAATGCGAGAAGTAAGCCGAGCATTCATTTACGCATTGCCCATCTGCTATGTAATTGCACGACGTGTCGATGGTTCTGCTTGAACTGGTCCGGGCGGGTAAGCATCTCTCGTCCTCTCGATCAGCTATCACCGATCATCAGGACTTCAAATAGTGCTACATACGCGTCGTACAGCACCGTCAAGCGCATCCTTCACTTCCCGCAAGTGGGCGTTATTGATCTTGACCGGTTCTGACTCTGCCAGGGTGACCTCAATAGTGCCGTGTGCCTCGACCTTTTCCACAAGGGCAGTCGCTGGCTCGCCGTTCTTCCTCTTCCTAGGCGCCATTGTTATTGTTTTTCTTCCTCAAGTATCACGCTTCGCGTATTAGATTTGATCTCCGATGAGGGAAAGCACGTAGAAAGTAATTGCGGATGCAGAGAGATATCCGGAACCCCTGAATTTGGTCGCAGCATCGCAACCGCACGTGGCCTGGCTTACCCCACCGCCATGGCCAAAACAACACCGATACTGGATCTGGCTCAGATTTTCTCCTACTTCGTGCTCCCTTTGGTTCATGGCCTGCGGCCAGTGTGCTACTACATTTCTAACGGAGTCGACATCTCGCACCTTTGCCTTGATCTGAGCCAGACACATTGCAACAATCTTGACCTGCTGTCACCGCCTATTGCTGTGTAATATATCGAGTGTTAATTCTCCCATTCGGACAATGTCAAGTGTCCAAGAGAAGTTCAACAGCAAGCGGTGATTTATTCTGCATTTCGAAGGGTACAGCATTTCGCTACTTCTTCCTCTCTACACTTCTATGATGGTCTTGAAAACAACGAGTACAGCAGGTCGGGACACAGGAGATGCGCGCGCCGGCCTGTCACATGTCAGTCGTCTCACACATGACTTTGCTGCAAGTACGCACCTAATGGGCACCTAGACATTGATGAAATATTTCGAGACCACAATGTTCTGGTGTGGTATATTCCTGCTCTTACGGATCTCTTCGAGTGCCTCATCCATTATCTCCCGTCCGCTGGCGCCAACAAGCCCAAGCGATTTGAGATGGTCGAGGTAAGCAACCATACCTTCAGCGCTCAAGTTGTGGCGGTTGCCTTTGTGCTCCCTTGCAAATCCGTCATGGGAATCAAAGTAGAGTGCGGTCCCAGAGCCAAGGTTGGCGAGCCTCAGTAAGCCGATCGCTTGAGAAGTTGTCCGGTCAGAGAAAGAGGGACCATTGTGCCGATGAATCCCTCGGCTCTTTCCTGGAAAGAAGTGCGATAGCCACGATTGGGTACGGAGGTTTGATAGCAGATGCGAAAGGTGTGAACTGGGTGGGTTGACATTGTCAGAGCGCAACGGTTGGAGATAGATGTTGTTCGTTTCATTTCACGTTGGTGTCATTGTGATTGATGCCGATAACTGGGTTTTCACCGCGGGAGGACAGATGGTCGTTGACGTGGAGCCCCTAGGTTATCCGTCCGCAGTGTATCCTTTATATAAGCACATTGCTGGCAAGTTTTATGTTAAAGACGTCAACAGTACTGATAATATTATTGCAGATATCGTTCGTTTTGCATCCGCTCTGCGTCACATGCCGTCCCCAAGACGACAGTACGAGGACCTATTGTCTCTCTGTACATGAGGATGTACATTCCTCCATCGTGGGTTTATATGTCAATAATTAAGCTCAGAATACTCATTTTTGCATCAGATCATGCTCTTATTTTCTCGACCTAAAGTTAGCTTCCCATTTCCAGAACTTCGAGATGGCGCGCCTTTCTGGGTCAGGCTCTGGACCGCACTGCCGTTACGACTGCGACTGTACGCATACGGATCCTGGCCGAAGCTGCTGAATCTCTTCGCCCCGTCAAAGCAAAGGCTGTCACAACGAGTGTACAAACTTCCCTTTGGCTTGTATCTCAAAGACGGTTTGACCTCCGCAAGCGCAGAAGCGCACGCGATGTGGCTCGTCAAGCGACATACGAATGTCCCCGCCCCAATGCTGGTCGATTATATCACCTGTGCAATAGAATCCCACGGTTTTTCATATAATGCCGCATATACCCTTATGACTGAGGTACCTGGGCGGCCGCTCAGTGAGGTTGCACACAGTCTATCCGACGACGAGTTGGAGACAATTGGACTGCAGCTACGAGGATACGTCGAA